GGCACCATGGACACAGACACACATAATAGGTAGCGATATAATTAGGAATGACAGTACAGTATTTAAAGGGTAGAGCTCTTGCTGGAAACCCCAGCTTCGAGCTAAAGTTTATACATACCATTCTACCTCGAGTCAACGTCTGACCTTGTATCACACTGCACGGGTACATATTAAGTGAACTCGGGTGATTCCTCGAAGTGCGAAGGAACACCTGTTTATCACGTGTATCTGTCCATGTGACGCTTGGGTCTAATAATTAGCTCGAAGCTTCTATCTTCCCTTTCTCAAGCCCAATTGTGCTGAGAAACCGAATGCCTCCAGTAACAACCACCGACCTAAACCACGACTTCTTCGAGCTTATCACTTCCATCATCAGAACTTTACTTGGACTTCTAGCCATCATCACTCTCTGTCGAGGACGACAATCAGTAGCAGCTTGGATAGTCAGGCACTATCAAGCCTTCCAGCACATTCAACAAATTCTACGCAACGTAACCCCCGACCTACCTTTCCATGACATCCCCCCCTCCGTCAGAACGTCCTTCTTCCTGCAAGGGGGACCTGTACCAGAAACCGGGAATAACGACCCAGATCCAGAGAGCCTTCACGAGGAAGAAGGACCCCAACACCCCCCTCGACGACACAGCAGAAACCACCACCCTGCTCTCACAGGGTTCCGGAACCTGTGGACGACGAACGTCGCTCAGGAGCCCGCAGAGGTCTCCAACTATGTCACTCCAGCAGGTTCCCCCAAGCATTCCGCCTCCCCAATTCTCTCAGGGATTGGAAACCGTGCTCGGGACTCCCTTGATGCCGCTCGGATGGCTATGGGACCCCGCGAAAGTCCCGACCCCCCCCAGAACCCCCCCGAAACCCCCACTGAGCCCAACTCCAACTCCAGCCCATCCGTCAGCAGGCTGAGGGTCGATGACCCACATGGAAGGACTATCCACCCCGATTATGCGAATGCAGAGATTGCCATCTCTGCAGCAGGAGACCCCTACCGACACCTCCATGTGGGAAGTGAACCTGAGGTCGGGACCGCCAGTGAAAGAGGAAGAGCCATGCAGGACAGAATTATACAGCGAATATTCCCAGACTGGGATATTACCATTCCCTTCAATTACGACCAGGCAGTACAGCAGCAGAACCAAAACCGAGAAGAAGAGCTTAGGCGAACTCAGGAAGAACTCGCCGATTATGTATGAGAAGAGGCCCGAGAGCAATACAAGGCCGCAGAGTATGACAGGCAAGGAAGAGCACAAAGAAGAAGGGAAGAAATCGAAAGGATGGGGTCAGCCTCCCCCAGGGAGTACGAGCTCCGCACCGACGCAGAGTCTCCCTTTAGAGAGCCTGACTCAGACGACGACCCATGGATGGGACCTGCCAGCATCGTCAGCTGGGATGAGGCCATCCGATGAGGAAGAGCAGCAGAACCCCGACCCGTCGTACTCGAGTATCCCGCCCGCACCGATACCATCTCCTCGGATGCTGACTCCGTCCTCGGAGCCTACGGGCTCCGAGTACCCGACAATGCCCACGTCTCCGACAGGGCTCTCCAGCGATTCCTGGGCAGCAGGGTCGCTCGGCAGTTCCTCAACCCTGAGTTTCAACGACACTTCAGCCGCTATAGCCGAGAACTGGAGGAGACGAGAGCGCGCAGAGAGACATACTACAGTCGACTCAGGAGCCCTCCCATCACCCAAACCAGTAACCAAGGAGAAGCCGGACCCAGCACCCAAGTCAATGGAAGGGTCCCCGATGACCCTTCGTCCAGCCGTGCCGTCAATTTACGACCGGCCCGTCCGTTCCCTCCTCGAGGAAGGGGACAGCGGGGACGAGAGAGACGAGGAGGACGATGACAGTGATGACCCATATCGACAACGACTGGAATGAGCAGGGGAGGATACAGACAAAGAAGCTTTGAAGGAAGAAATAGAAAGAGCAAGAGACAAAGAGTATCAGGAGCTGTACGAGCAGGGAAGGAACTTTTTGTGGCAGGATACGCGCTGGCAGGCAACGACATTAGGACTGGAATATCGGTATGCAGAGGACACTAAAAAAAGGAGAATTTTACAGTATGCCGCGACAAAGTATGCATAGGGAGAATACAGTCGGCGGCATCCAGAAGACCCGTTAGTGCCGATACCCCTGTATCAACTCATCAGCAAGCCAAGAACACCGGCACCGCTGCTGTGTACCCCCCCCATACCACCACAACGAGCAATTTACACTGCTGCCTCGATCTGAAGCTGGGCCGACACTAATCCGACGATCTGGAGCATGGCTTCACGGCTCGCCCAGACCAGAAACTGGCCGGCATGGCGGCCCGACAGAATTCAAAACCCCTGGACCAGCAGAGGGAGCCAACTTCTCGGGGGACAGCCGCCCCCGGACCAAGCAGAATCAAGCGGGAAGGACCCCATTCGGGACGACCCTGAGGTGGTCCGCCTCGGGTTCACGATCTGAGACGGGGTCATCATTCGGATAGTTGACCCGAAAGGCAGCCCAGTGGCAGACGACAACTCACTACACTCCTTTCCCGGGCCACCCACAGAATGGAGCCAGCCGCCGTTCGATGGCTGGCCCAACCTGATGGGCCCGCTCCCACATAACGCTAATGTTTTGCAATGTCACCCCGACCTCCTCTAAAAACCTCACCCCTTCAAGGAAGCTTCAGATGACATCGACTGCTTCCTAGTTGACTGTGAGCAATACTTTGAGGTATACGTCGGATATATTGGGACAGATATGAACAAAGTCATGTTCGCCATGTCCTACTTAGAAGATAAAGCCAAAATCTGGTGGATCTTAATCTCCCCAAACTTCTGGTCCACCACCAGGGAACATTACCGATATCCCTCGTGGCCAGTATTCAAACGAATGCTAAACGACAAATTCATTGATCCAGCGGTACAGGAAGTACACAAACAAAAGATCAAGGAATACAAGATGGGAGATAAAGCGGCAACAGACTACTTTGACGAGCTGGAAAGGCTCGCCAAGCTCGCAGGAATTCGGGAGGACACAGCAAACGACGGAAGAATGGTAGAAGCGCTCAAATGAGGAGTCCTCTCCTCGTACCTCACGATGATTTCTGCCATGGGCGTCAAAATATTGATGCCGGTGGGGTATGATGAATGGAAGGAACGAATCGTTGAGATGTACAAGGAGTGACAAAGGCAGAAAGCGGAGGCGACAATGCTACAGGAATACTCCAAAAAGCCAGCCCCGCCAACCCCGAACAAGTCGGGGCAAACTGCTGGGAAATCATCAGGATCTCCTCCAGCGTCTAACTACGGGAGCCAGAAAATGGGAACGGGGATGACTTACACTGGAGCCGGCAAGCCTATGGACATCGACTAAATAAAAAAGGAAGGAAAGTGTTTCAACTGCGGGCTGAAGGGCCACATGGCCAAGGACTGCCCAAAGAAGAAATGAACTCGTGAAGACATCAGGGCGCAGATTGCCGAGCTACAGAAGGAAGACGAGGAACTCGGAAAGGAGACAAAGATCGAGGAGGTAAAAGGAGAGGCCGGCCAGTGATTGACTCCACTGAACCGGCCAAAGGACTTCACGGTGTGCAGGACTCAACCGTTGTACAGACTCATAATGCCTCTGTAGTACCAAATACGCATTCGAATATACCCACGATTAGTAACGCACACCCAAAAGAGTCGAAAAGAAAAACTCAAATGCCTATGGGCCAAACAGGGGCAGAGAGCCCCAAAACTTGGCTCAAACCATTCGAAACCGAATGGACCTGGTGGG